GCTCGGGACACTCTGGCCAACACAATGCGCTGACATCGTCTGTTAACTACTCACCTGGATGCCATGCGAGGCTGTGCTTTCTCCCAGCAAAGTCACTGGAAATCCTGCCATAACGGAGGCGTGCTCAATTGCTACCTACCTGTCCCTTTTTTTACCATTACCTCTGTTTCTTTACTTTCCTCTTGCCGGAGAGGTACTTTTTCCTGTATTGTGATCACACACCTGGCCTGACCTCTAAATCACAGACCACAGGTTGCAGAATGGGTCACGCTGGAAGGGACCCCCGTGGTTGGGACCATCTGGCCCAACACCCCGCTCGAGCAGGGCCATCCCAGGGCTCATGGCACAGCGTTGCATCCAGAGGTTCTGGAATATCTCCAGAGAGGGAGACCCCACACCCTCCCTGGGCAGTCTGTCCCGGTGCATGGTCACCCCCACAGCAGGGAAGTTCTTCCTCACGTTCAGGTGGAACTTCTGTGCATCAGTTTCTGCCTGTTGCCTCTCGTCCTATTAAATAAGTCCTATTATTATGTTTCAATTACAGTCATATTTAAATGAGCTGGTACAATCATGTTGTTTGTACTGTCTCTTTTTAAATGTGCGGACTACAAGTGCAACTAGAAGGTCCAGAGCAAGATTCTGAAGAGAAGAATATTGAAGTTGCAGTTAATCAAAGGCAGCATAAAGACAGCGTGAATGAGTGTAGCTCTGCAGACACCTTCCAAGGAGTGCAAAAGGGTAAATCTGTAGAAGAGCTAAGCTAACAGACAGTGCTTGGGATGACTCAGATACACCATTACTGTAGTCTCTCTACATGCAGAGTTAAGACTCTTGTTAAATGCAAATTAGTGTTAATTAATTGTAATACACAGTAGATGTCTAAGACCATAAGAACATTGATGCCAGTACTTTGTTGTCACTGCACGTTATAATAATCTAAAGAGTAGTGGGTATTACCTGATTTCCAGATCTAAAAAAAAAAATAAATGCATATTTCAGCAGATAAATTTGCTACTACTTATTTTACTACTTTGCCTTCTAAAAACATTAAGTTTCATTAAAATTGTCAGCAAAAATCTTGGTTAAAACCCTCTTCCTCCTGAAATTCACATTCAAGTGCTCTTCAATATTTCTCTAAAGTAATTGGCAACATGACACATTTTCCCCACGCTTGCTGTTAAATTGCAACTCCTTTTCTTACTTACAAAGATGTTAAAACTCAAGAGAAAGCTGTCAACTGTATGTCCAGAGCAGACCAGCAGAATGAACAAAAATCAGGTGTTGATCACGAGTCTGTGACCAGCTCATCCAGTCAAAGGACAGCAGAAAAGAGGGGCTCTGTAAGGTAATGCATTGCTTGTGGATGTGTTTTATTTAAATCTTGGCATCACTGAAGTCAGTGGGAGTTTTGCTGCTCTGCATGTTATCTTAACTCTGGAGAACAATTTTGCAGATGAACTTAAGAATAATCAATGAATCAGGAATTAGTGATATCTCCAGCATCTGTACAGATGTTTGGGGTTTTTATGGCCACAGTAGCAAACTACATTCTAACTACATGAGGTAGTCTATTTAGTGGATCTGGAGAAAATTGTGCAAACTCTTGTGGGAGTCATTTGCCAGTAGATTTGACCATTTCTCAGCATCAGTTCAGACAAGGCATTGTGTTAATTCCTCGTGGCATTCCCAGCCAGCCACAGCTGGAAAGTAAAACTTTCTTGAGTGCTATTTCAGAGTCAGCATTTCATTAAAATGTTGGGCTGAGAGCTACTGATTTTTTTGTCTGAGAAAAATGTTGCATAGTGGCTGTGCCACCCAAGGTCCTGTACCAAAGCAACAAGGAACAGAGGAAAGAATTGGAGAGGAAGGAAGGAGAAGCTAACAGAATCACACTGCTCTTTTCCAGGAAGATGGACTCTCTGATTCCCTACCCATTTTCCTACGTACTCTCTGTTTTTTAGCAGAAGGGTCTGGTAACTCACTTAAAACAGGTAGAAATGAGAAGCCACTCTAAAAAAACCTACTGCTTTTTTAATTTGGAATATAGTTTTGAAAGCTCTAACTATTTCTGTTGCATGAAAGAACTATTAATTGTGTTGCATTGGAATCTGTAAGGAAGCAAAAGATTTCAGAATGTGCACTGAAATACATTTTTTGTTTTGCTTCTGCTTCCTGTTATTATTTCAGAATGACAAAAAAGACTCTGCTGGACATCTGTAAACAGCAGAAGTTATACTGGACTCCCTACTTAAATGATACACTTTACTTGCATTATAAAGGTAAGATGTGGACATGACTGTTTAGATTTATCATTCCAAGTAGCATTTTAGCAGAGAAGCTATTTCATGGCTCACTAAAGTAAGATATCTAGTCATTCTTTTAAATTAAAAACATAAGTTAATTTTATATAATACTGGAATTGGGAAACAAAATGTCTCAATATGAAGGTAGAAAAATAAACTGATTATACATCTAATTCACTTTGTGTAGTCATTCAAGGGATCAGTAGGAATCAAGGGACACATTTTTGGGTTTTTTTCCTAAAACAACAGCCTCTGAGAAGTGTCTTAAAATACTGGTCTGGGTTGCATTCAGAGGAAAATATATGTTTTTTTCCTTAAATGTGCTTGTACAAAGAGGTTTTGTTGCAGGGTTTGACCGGCTGGAGAACCTGGAGGAGTACACGGGGCTGAAGTGTCTGTGGCTGCAGTGCAACGGCCTGAGGAAGATCGAGAACCTGCAGGCGCAGACAGAGCTGCGCTGCCTCTACTTGCAGCTCAATTTGATTGAGAAGATTGAAAACCTTGAGCCCTTACAGAAGCTGGATTCCCTCAACATCAGTAACAACTACATTAAGACCATTGAGAATCTCTGTAAGAACTGTTGGTACAGTGTGTTGTAACCTTGGCCAAGCCCACGTTCCTAAGCTCTGACTAAGCTGTTATCAGTGGCACTAGTTTCAAGGGATAATTTTATTCATGATAGAATTTTGCACAATATCCCATACCAAAGTCCACAGGGTTTCTGTTGAGGAGTCAAACCTATGTATTTTGCAAATTAAATCGATGAAAAAAGAGAATACGTAGGAACTACTTCACGTGGATACCTAGAATAATTAGGTATTTTTTTCCTCACTTCTTAGTACCATCTCAGTCTTATCTGTGCTGCAGACAGGCTGACAATCCAGTTTTCACTATTTACTTTACAGTTAAGATGTGCTTTGGCAGTTGCAGACACAATTAATGAATCTCTTATGTCTGCTAAAAGATTTATTCTGTCTTCAGCAGAAAATAAAAACAATTCCCCTACATTACCACTTGCATACATTGGAAAATTTTGAAACGTGTGTAACTAATTAGTTTGAAATGTGAATGAAGGACAACCACTATCCCAAAACCAAACAGCTGTTTCTCCCAGGGTGAAGAAAGCAGCTTTGGAGGCCTAGCCAAAAAGTGCATATAGCAGAATAACAAATTTCAAAAAAATCTCCAAATTCAATA